GTCTGGGTCTTCAGATCACGCCCAACGATCGTTTACCGTTCTGGTAGACGTATTGTTGTGGGTTTATCCTACCTACACTAGTAGCTAGAGTTGCCGTGGGAATTACAACACCACAATCAACACATCACGTGTCCAGACTCCGGGTTTATGCTAAATCGGCTCGAGAAGTTACTGAAGATCTCCTACAACACGCTCTGCACGCGCAAGGCGGGCACTGTGTCGAAAATTTCCGTGGGATTCGTCTTAACAATACTGCTAACCAGTGGCAGGTGCAGGTTAAATGGCTTGGTCTGAACGAGCTCGAGAACACGTGGGAATCATATGCATCCCTCCAGACGGATGTTCCGGTGCTGCTTGGTCGCTACTGCGAGACGCACAAGGAGGAGCCGCAGTTTGCAGAGGTGCTGCGACCCGTGTCACGTCAACCACGGGCTCGTCGGCCATCGTCTCGACAATCAAGGTCTCGACACTCCACCCCGCAGCCCGCCCGCCCGGCCCGCCCAAAACGCAGCCGCGAACGCCGTTAATGCTTCGAAGAGGAAGTGTTCTGGCGGCCAGCCAGATGACGCCCCCAGATGATGAGCATCAGGGAACGGTGTTGGTCAACAAAGATGACTCACCTGGGTGACGGATATCAAGCTGGATACATGTCATCTGTGATTGTCCCCCCCCCCCCCACGAGAAGGACACGAGGCCATAGAGGCCCTGCAGGACGAAGGCACGGCCACGGAGGTTCTGCTCGTAAGGTCTCAACTGCATGTTTTCTAAGCTCTCTAATTCACTCACTTTGCAACTTACCTTCTTGGCCACAAGCCCCGGCCCAAACACCGGGGCCGCAGAACAGATACATTATTTAAGTTGAGACCAGCGCCAGTCCCACAAAAAGGTATCTGCAATTTGTAGGAAAACATAACTATTTGAATAAGGTCCTCCCCCCTTCCCCCTCTCCCCCTCCTCAAAGCTTTATTTAATGCCGATACTGCTGTAAATTTGTGTTAGCTAAACAAAAAAAAAACGCTAAAACGGGTAACTATGCTTCGACGACATGTTATTCTTACTAAAAAAAAAACTTTTCTGGAAAAATATCGTTAAATAGAGCTTAGTGTTTAATGTTTGTTTAGGAAGCGTTATACTGGCAGATAATCATTCTCTAATTGTATGGAATGGGGCCAAGAAGTGGGGTTCAACGATCAAAGCGCTTGTGTTTGTGGTGTCCTTCGAACTTTTGTGTTCAATTTAGATGTTAACGTTAATACAATTAAGCCGGATTTGGAACGCAGGCTTGCACTCCTTCGACAAGGATTTGGACTCAATTGACAAGGAAAATGTGAGTTAATTAGCAATCGAAACGCACCAGAGTATCATTTCTAAATAGATCTAAAAATCTATTCACCATCATGTGCGTTAGGATCACATGGAAGAGGGGGGGGGGGGTAATTGCCAATGTAAATGCTCCAGTTTTGATCCGATTAGGGCTGACGTGCCAAACTTTTCTGCTCTTCACCAAGTTCGCGTGTTTCGCGTTCTTCGTCATATCGTTCAAATAGTTAACGTAGCCGTACTTGTCGTACTTCTATGAACTGATCCATACCTGGAGCACCCTTGATGAAATCGTCCCATCTGCTTCGAAATACCCAGCATATCAGCAAAGTCCTCCTTCGTCGTTAACTTCTTCATCAATTTCTTCATCTCCTTCACAGGCAGCGACCTGTCTTCGGTGTCAGCGTGGGCCCCGGCGGTTGTGAGACTGGTCCTCAGAAGTCGCTGGCTGGTGCTACCGGGTGCAGTGCTGGAAATGTGGCTTGAGGCTGCGGCCACCAAGGATGCCTCGCTGGCAGGCAGGAAAGATACCGCGATCACCACCAAAACGTGAGATAGACGCATGAGTGTCGTAGAGAAAAAGTTGCGAAGTGAGGCCTACATGTATTAGAAGCACCTTGGCGGTGTCAATCGCCCGCTGTCGTCGAATGGAGCACATCCCTAGATCAAATACAGACTCGTGATCATTTTTATGTGGTTGGTTTATGCTTTCCTTTTCTGTGCTGTATGTACTTTGTTAATTTTGCCGATCCAAGGCTCAAATTGCCTCAACGTGGTGATGTTATCTATTTACTGTATTGTGAATTCCGTCCAAATATGCCGATTTGGGTCTGTTTGAGGAGCGGAAGGACAATCGCCCACATACAAACCCAAGTCATTAGTAGAACCCACCAAGTCTTTTCTTGCCACCTTATTTCGTACTTAAACGGGTCAGTGTACGGAATTGTAAACTCTGGGTGATTTCGGGGAGATTCATTCAAAGAACCGCCCATGACAATTTTGAGTAGAACTCACAGTATGTAAAGCAGAACTGGAAGCACATGCATCGATCCGATTCCTGAATCCCGATGTCGCAAGAAGAAGCACAAGTTGTGGCATGGTTGGGACGTAAAGCGATACACAAGATGCGATAACGCTGGGAATTTACAAACCTCAAGACCACTCCGGGTTTCACCGTTTAAAGCACACGGCAGTCTACACATCGTCAACAAATGAAAGTTGTTTCCACTCTAGCTGCTGCGTTACTCGCTGTTGCTGCCGCCATGGCCAACCCTGCCGGTGGGCACGTTGAGCGCCAACTTATTCTCCGCGGAGGTGAAGTCCAAATTGGTATGAAGCTTTACACGACTGGTATTCGCTCTACTCTCGACGGAAACACTTCCTGCGGCGGTGCACTTATCGCCCCGACTCACGTACTTACCAC